TTAATGTATAAAAGTCAATTTTAATTCCTAATAAGCTATTATTCTTATGCTGCAATGCAGAATATTCAATTTATGAATTACCATTAATACTAACTATATTAATGTACAGTTGAAAACTGGAATCGCCTTTTAAGTGAATTATTTTTACAATAAATTGAAAAACAAGTGTGATTATTTTGAAGTGAAAATTATAGAAACTAATTTGAGAAATTATGGATACTAATTTGAGATAGATATGTTTTTTTTTTATTCAAAGATAAGTTTAAACTGTTTAAAACTATTTTGAAAAAAAATAAAACTGCAAAAAAGGAAATTGTAATAAAATATCGAGCAAAAAAGTACAGAATTATTTATATTATTAGTGTGAAAATGGTTTCTATTTAAGTCAGTTTTGCCACCAACATACAAAACCCCTGCCAGCGAAAACACATTTGTGTAGTTGGACTTTGTGTAAAAGTACTAATATTTCCCTTTTATCTGTCTACCCATGTGGAGGTGTGCACATCCCAAAAGTGACCATGAGCCATAACTCCATTCACTGGTTCCGCAAGGGGCTGCGTTTGCATGACAATCCCACTCTGCTCGCTGCCCTGGAAGACTGTAGACACATCTACCCCCTGTTCCTGCTGGACCCCTGGTACCCCAACAACACTCGCATCGCCAATAATCGATGGAGATTTCTGATAGAAGCTCTCAGAGACCTGGACTACAGTCTGAAGAAACTCAACTCCAGGTAAGGATGGAAAAAAAGGTTGAGGTTTGAGTCAACTGTAGACAGATACTGTATTTTTTTCCCTCATGCAACATGTTCTTTGCCTCTAGGCTGTTTGTTGTCAGTGGGCCGCCCACAGAGGTCCTTCCAAAGCTCTTTGAGAAATGGAAGATCACCCGGTTGACTTTCGAGGTTGATACAGAGCCGTACAGTCAGAGTAGAGACAAGGAGGTCATGAAGTTGGCCAAGGAATATGGTGTGGAAGTTATTCCAAAGATTTCTCACACTCTCTACAACATTGACAGGTAATGTGCTATAATTTGTAAATCAAATTTTATATTTACACAGAAAATACTCACCTGGATTTTCAAACAGGATTATTGACAAGAACAACTGCAAGCCTCCCATGACTTACGTTCGCTTCTAGAGTGTGGTGAAGGCCATCGGTCCTCCAAAAAAACCTGTTCTTGCTCCAACCAAAGAGGACCTGAAAGGTATCTTTTTGGACATCATGCTAAATGAGAAGAGACTGTTGCTGGGTTTTCTCTCTTCAGTAATGCCTCTTTCTCTGGAAGGTGTGTCCACTCCATTTTCTGAGGACCACGAAGAGGAGTTTGGGATTCCAACTCTTGAAGATCTTGGACTGGATGTATCATCCTTAGGACCAGATCTGTTCCCAGGGGGTGAACAAGCTCTGCGCAGACTGGATGAGCACATGCAGAGAACGGTACATGCCCCAACACGTCTGTGCATTATATATAAATATAAATATATAAACCCTATAAAGCCTGACATATAAAAAAAATAAGGAATAGTCAAAATTATTTGTTTTTATCAAACTGTAAATTTGACCTTTAGACTATATATATATATATATATATATATATATATGTATAGTTTTCTACTTGCATTAAAACAGTCCAATAAAATGTGTTTATATATTAAATTTTTATGTTCATTTTATTTAATTTAAGAGTGCCAACAAAGGATAAACTAATGTTACAAATAAATGATAAAAATATATTTTAAATATAAATGTATAAATATATATTAAATATAATAAGTGTATTAATGTAGTGTGTACATAAATGACAGATATTATTAAGAATAATCATATAAAAAATATGGTAGCAACAACATTTTCAAAGTGAAAATTAATCAGATTTTAATAGAATAGGCTGCATACTTAAATACATATAAATAAATGTATACATTTTATTATAAATAAATAATACATTTTAATTGTGGTGATCATAATACATCATGAAATGCATTACTATGGATGCAATATATATACTTCCAATACATGCTGTATATTTTATATAGACATTTTTTATATAGACCATTTTTGCATCAAAAATTTAATGTTTAAGCACAAGCAAATATTAATTTTGAAAAATCTATAACAATATAATCATTATTCTTTACCAGAAAAGATTGATTTTGTCTTTTTGCAGGCATGGGTGTGCAAGTTTGAAAAACCACAAACGTCCCCCAACTCCTTGAGCCCCAGCACCACCGTCCTGAGCCCATATGTCCGATTCGGCTGATTGTCTGCACGCACCTTCTGGTGGAGGCTCACAGATGTGTATAGAGGGGTACGTCAGATGTCTTACACATTACTTGAGCCACAGTTCAAGATCCTGGTGTGGCTGAAAGTGTGGTGTCTCTTGCAGAAGAAGCACTCTGAACCTCCAGTTTCCTTGCATGGCCAGTTGTTGTGGAGAGAGTTCTTCTACACGACTGCTGTCGGGATCCCAAACTTCAACAGAATGGAGGGCAACCCTCACTGTGTGCAAGTGGACTGGGACAACAATCCCGAGCACCTGGCTGCGTGGAGGGAGGTAAAGTAAGTTTGTTTAACATTTTTTTGAATGTATTAAAATTGCAAAAAATACAGAAGACGTGCATGTGTGAATTCAGGCTCGGACCGGATTCCCGTTCATTGACGCCATCATGACACAATTACGTCAAGAGGGCTGGATCCATCATCTGGCTCGGCATGCGGTCGCCTGTTTCCTGACCCGAGGAGACTTGTGGATAAGCTGGGAGGAGGGCCAAAAGGTTTGTGTTTCGCCCATTTACCTGCTATGTTACAGACAGATCAGAGATATAATCATTGGCCAGCTGTGTTTCTGCTCACGGTCATCTGAAGGTGTTTGAGGAGCTGCTGCTGGATGCTGATTGGTCGCTAAATGCAGGAAACTGGCAGTGGCTCTCAGCCAGCGCGTTCTTCCATCAGTACTTCAGGGTTTACTCTCCTATCGCCTTTGGAAAGAAAACCGACAAATATGGGGATTACATTAAGTTAGTTTGTTTTTAAATTCTGTTCCAGTATAAAAGTGAAACAAGTGATCTGTGAAACAAGTACTTACAAATGCTGATGCTGCTTGTCTTGCAGGAAATACCTTCCAGTGCTGAGGAAATTCCCTGCCGAGTACATCTATGAACCCTGGAAAGCTCCTCTGAACATTCAGGAGAGAGCAGGGTGCATTGTGGGAAAAGATTACCCTCGTCCTATTGTGGAGCATGAGGTTGTCCATAAAAATAATATTCAGAGAATGAAAGCAGTATATGCAAAGCGCTCTCCAGAGGACAACACCATCACTAAAGGTAATTATTTAGACCTATAAATATTAATATTATTTATATATACAAATGGAAAATTATATATTCTCTTCTGCTGAACTGACTTTTTTTTTTACTTTATCTTTGTCCAGGTGTAAAACGCAAAGCGACATCTATCCTGGATATGTTTGAGAAGAAATCGAAGAGATAAAGTTGGTCTCTCTCCTAAATATTTTTATACTGTGTTCCGCTATGGGTCAATCATTTTTTTTAATACTTTTTATACTCTATAACTTTGATACATGCGTGTTTAAGATACAGTATAATTTTGAATTAGTGGTTAGCTGAGATTGTTTAGCTATCATTTTTTGCAGTAAAGTAACCTGTTCATTTTAAAGGGGTCATATGACGTTGCTAAAAAAAAAAACATTATTTTGTGTATTTAGTGTAATGAAATGTTTATGTGGTTTAAGGTTAAAAAAACACATTATTTTCCACATACTGTACATTATTGTTTCTCCTCTATGCTCCGCCTTTCTGAAACGAGCTCATCGATCTGAAAAGCAAGGTGTGCTCGAACAGCTTGTAACACTCCAAAGAGAAAGGAAAACTTAAAATCGCATCATATGACCCCTTTAAAGGGCAAAAGCTGAATAGAGCACTTTTAAATCTCAGCAGCTTTTTGGATGCATGTAATTTGCGATTTTCTACATAACTTTAAGTTACATATCATTTATTCATCATATACGTGTGTGTGTGTGTGTGTGTAAAAGTTTGGGATCACTAAGTTGTTTTGTTTGGTTTTTTTAAAGAAAATTAATACAACAATTATTTGTATTTGTATTTTTTGTAAAAAAAAAATTTTTGGATGCATGTAATTTGCGATTTTCTACATAACTTTAAGTTACATATCATTTATTCATTATACGTGTGTGTGTGTGTGTGTGTAAAAGTTTGGGATCACTAAGTTGTTTTGTTTGGTTTTTTTTAAAGAAAATTAATACAACAATTATTTGTATTTGTATTTTTTGTAAAAAAAAAATAAAAAAAAATTGTCTTTTTCCACAATATGCATGTGTATTCATATTAACACACATTTAAAGATGTACAGATTTATAAAATTCAGTCCATAAGGTCTGATTTGGGGACAAACTTTTAAAGTTTATGATTATTTTTGGTGTTCATTTCTGAAACAGTATGAAAATGACAATCCAGAAAAGGAATTTTAAAAAGTAATAATAAAAAATGAATATAGCTGCAAGCAGTGAAGACGGGCCCAAGCCATCAGTGCAACCGCCACCCCGATGGCATCAGGAAAACGGTGCACAGCGGGCACATGCATTTAAAGTAACCCTTTACAGTCTGGATTTAAGGGTCACAGCAATGAAAGGGTTACACTATAACATCAAGAGTGTGAAACACACACACAAAGAGAACAATATATAAAACTTTACATTAACTATATTAGTTAACATGAATAATAATTATATAGCATTTATTAATGTTAGTTGATATTAAGTTAAAAACCTACTAATACATTAATACAATTTAAAGTTGTATCTGTCAACATTAGTTAATGCACTGTGAATTAACATGAACATTTTTATTAACTAACATTAAAAACATTAATACATGCTGTAAAAATATATTGTTCATGGAAAGTGTTACCAAAACTTCTTATGATCTATAAGGATTTTTTACAATTATTTTAATGGTCTATAAGCATTTGCATGCACTTTTCACAAAACCTTGAATAGCCGACTTACTGTCTGTCAGCACGAAAGTTGTACGGGCTGATGAGATCTAGATGTGAATGAATTTTGGTGATTAGGTCAAACGGTGTGTGCTACAGAGCCCCTCGAAAATGGCTTTTTTAAAGTCTGTGCCACGGGCCGCCCTGTGAACCCCCCACCACCCCCATGTGAAACTCTGTCCGGCCCTGACGGCCGCAGATTCCAACATATGTGCAAAGTTTCAAGAGTTTTTGAGCATTTTAAAGGCCCCAAAACCCCAAAAAACTTAGAATAAATAAATAAATAACAATCCTTAGAAGAACAATAGGGCCCTGCGCCCCTAGTGGCTTGGGCTCTAATAATAAACAGTGCAATTCCAAGAGGGTCCTCGCACCATTTCTGCTCGGCCCCTAATAATCCTTAGAAAAACATTAGAAAAATAGGATATATCATGATCTGTTTCATATGCATATTGAAATATATGCAATTACAAATTAACAAAATGTGCATCTGAATTTCCTGATCTCTACCATACATTTCTTGTACAGTATGTTTTGTTGAATCCAGCAGCATTGATCACTCTTCTCTTTCATGCCTTAATAATCTGAGCTTCCTTACATTTTGTTACCAAACTGAATGCATCCTCCTGAAAATTGGATTCCATTGTTCAAGTGAGAGTTCTGTCTGGACCATGATGTCCTTATTTTAACGTTCATGTCAAGTGGCTCCGTCCTGAGGACACATACACCTTCCCTCTATGTTTTTGTGCTCCTCACACAATGTTTCTCTCTAGCATGGGCTCCTGCAGGAGGATCCGTTTAAGGTCAAAAGCACTGAGGTCGATGGTCTTATAGCCTCCGTCCAGAATAAGTTCAGCCACAGCGAGTCCGTTCGCAGGAGACTGCTGTAGACCGTGACTACTGAAGCCCGTGGCAAAGAACATGTTGGGCACAAGAGGGTGCAGTCCAGTAATGCCATTCTGATCAAAGGTGTTGTAGTCGTACAATCCAGCCCATGCACTTGAAACCTGACAAAGATGGGCCATAAGAGCAGAGTGCTTCATTTGGAAAAAAAAAACTGAGTGGTAGAATTTAAAGAAGACACAAACAAACCCATATAATGGCATTAGAAACTGTTAAATTAGTCCCATGATTTTAAAGAAAGCTTAAGAAAACTCCCCTTCGTACAGTGGATAACATGAATAACAATTCTATATTATGAATTTTACCATCAGTTGCTCAAATGCAGGAATACGGTGGGCCAGACGATGCCAGACCTTCTCTTGAAAGAACTCATGGTCTACATCAAGGTTACTGATGTCTGGTTCTTCTGTCTGCACAAGGTAGAAAAAATATAAGAATGAATGAACAAATGGATAAATTCATGCAGAGAATAAAACTAATCCATTTGAGATCGGCTCAAAACGTGCCCATACCTCCTCTGGCGACATTCCCGTGATGTAAGTTCCTCCCAGTCCCTCTCGTCTGCAGTAAACCCCTGAATAGTCAATCAGAAATGGAGTATCCAACCCTGGTCCATCAGGACAATGTACCACATAAACAAACCTGGAGGAGATATGAATGATGCAGTTAGTGAGACTCCACAGTTTTATAATTAAACATAATGACAATTTAATTATTTAAATTAAAAATTAAATACAAAATCCTACATGAAATACTAATGATATTTAATTATTTTTTAACAATATTTAATAAATAACCGGCTTCAGCGTTCCCACAAGCCTACAGTGGATAAGGAAAATGGATGGATGGATTTAATTAATAAATTACTTATAATAACATTTATTTTTATAAAACGGATAGTTCCGGTCCTTGATTCGTCTTATGAAGTATTCTAATTTGTTGAGGTTTTTGTTAAATGTGAGCCAAAATCATCACAATTAAAAGAACCAAAGACTTAAACTACTTCAGTCTGTGTGCATTGAATTTATTTAATACACGAGTTTCACAATTTGAGTTGAATTACTGAAATAAATGAACTTTTCCACGACATTCTAATTTATTGAGATGCACCTGTATATGGAATAACCGTTTTATAAAAACAATAAGCCCCGTGAAGCCGTGGTAAACCACGGCTTCTTGGGGCTCATTGCTTTATTTTAAAAACTAATTATACTTAATAATAATAATAATAATATATTACATTATATAATAATAAATGCAAGTTATTTTAGAGTATTTGGCACTGCTCATTCATTTAAATTAAAATTAAATATTTAATTTTGTATTGAATTCTAATGGTATTTAAATATTATAAAATTATATTTCAATAGCATAAAATTTAATTAATTCTTAAATTAAATTATATTTATAATATTCTTTATTTTAGAATATTTGGCACTGTTTATTCATCCAAGTAGGTAAGAAACCATTTCAAATTACAGGATGACCACTGTTTACCACACAGTGTCACAAGATGTGAACAATCATGAGTCTTGACCTCTTTCTGGGCTCCACGGGTAATGGAAAATCAGACAAAGATTCTTTTGGACCTAATCCGATGCCTAGCATGGCGGCGATCTTTCCTGAGTTTGCAGCTGCCGCATTTACCACAATGGCATATTCCACGGGCTGATACTCCAGACTGTTGGGCATCCGCACCTAAAAATCACACCACATCTATCTGTTATGCTTTTAGAGCACTTGAACTTTAGAACACCTATGAAACGGTGTGTTGTACATCTGGTGTGTTCTGTTTTGAGAAGGCATATAAACATACATTAACATATTTTATCCTTTTGACATTAAGAACCTCTCCATCTGTAGTTTCTGCCAAATTTGTGGCACATTTAAATCCTAAAAATTCAAGAGAATCAACATGAGTTCTGTTTCGAAAGTAAGAACACAATGTTGAAAAAATAAAAAAAAGTACCAAATGTAGGACATTGTGTAATAATTTGACAAACTTTAAAATATTGTAGTTGTTAATCCTGACCTGTGACCTCTCCAAAGCACTGACAGACTCCCATAGACACAGCCTTCTGTCTGAGAGCATTCAGGAGACACCAGGGGGTCAAACCAGCCCTCGTTCTCTAGTCCTTAGTGAGGAATAAATATGTCACTCAGTAATGAACTTCAGATGTGAGATGTATCAAAGATTGTGAAAATGGTCACCAACCAAGAGAAGCCAGAGCGACCCCCTCCGTGTTCATCCAGGGGAATCTCTCCTTCAGCTGGGATGGTGACAGGAGGGCGACCTTCGCCCCTGCATATCTACAAATAAAATCAAAAACATGTTTTATTGATCTTTAACTTTGTATTGCGAGTCTGTTTATCAAATAATATTAAAGGTTGAGTTAACACAAAGTCGTTTTAATATCCTGATAATAAATACGCCTAATATAGTTGAAAGAAATTTGTATATAATCTGTGTCTGGTAAACCAACTTTTCCTGTTACCTTTGAGTTCTGTAGTTTTCCTCCATAATATGAGCTGATTTTTCACTGGCGAGGAAGAGATATCCTGAATGATGAAACTGCAGATCAACGGGGTCTTCATTTACCACCCAGAGATGATTCTGAGGCATTACAACACGACAGAAATACACATTTACAAACATTTATTAGTATTCTGAAACTCTAGACCAGCCCAATTGATCCTGAAGCACATTTAGCATCTTTTACAACTAAATATTTAAAGTCTCCAGAAATTAGCTGATACTTAGACTTCACGTCACAATTTATGTTTTACAGTGCATTTGTAACGGGAACAATATTTCAGGAAGCTTTTAATAGTGCAATATAAAAGATATTACATTAATGTTCTTCATGAAATGAGCTGAAAACAGTGACAGCAGGCTGTTTTCTTTCAAGGAGAACTGCTGCCGAATTCCACCACATGACAGCACAGTCGACGCCTGGGAATACTGTAGAAAGAGGAACATAAAAATGTTTTGTAATTACCTTTTATTTATTAGCATTAAAATCTTACAAAATGTCAAAGCATTTTCCTGTCATACCTGCATCACACAGTGCACAAACTCTGATTAATGAATCTTAAAATTGTCACCAAAAACAAATTATTTATATATTATTTACATTATTATATATTTGCACAATGCTTTTATTTGGTGTAATGATTTATATATAGAGAGAGAGAGAGAGAGAGAGAGAGAGATAGATAGATAGATAGATAGATAGATAGATAGATAGATAGATAGATAGATAGATAGATAGATAGAAATAATTAGTTAATATATAATTTAGTTACACATTAATTATATTGTTATATATTTGTGCAATGCTTTATTTGGTGTCATGATTTTAATATATTAACGATTAAATGGATAGTTCACCAAAAAAAAACAAGATCATTTACTCTCCCTCAAGTCTTCTGAAACCTGTATGACTAACTTTCATGGAACACAAAAGAAGAAGTCATGTTTAATTAAAAAATTTAAGAAAAAATAAAAGTCTTTTTGCAGAGTGTTCACAGGGAAGCAGGATTTTTTCTCTCCTCCAAGGTTTGTTGCAGGGTTTCATTTGAATGAACAGGGATTACATTGAAAATCTAATTTGGGTTCATTGTATAAAAAAATTATGATGCAGGAAAAAGGGGACAATCAAATAAATGTTCTTGCATATATATATATAAATTAATGATTTCTGTGCATTTTTCTGAACTAACTGAGGATTGTGTTACCATAATGATCATTATTATACTAGGGTCATTTTGCTTATTCATTCTGATATTCATCATAAGTATTTGAAACCCAAATGAAATCTTTCAAATTGAATTAAATTCATTCAGACATCCACTTGTAATTTTATTTGAAAACATTTAATTGTTTCTCTGAGACACTGATATGATGCCTGGTGGGAGTAGAAAGACATGATAAAAAGTTTTTCCTTTTTGTGGGTGAACTGAAAAAACATGATCAGTACATGATTATTAGCATTCCACAGTATACTATATAGCAGACATTGTGTCTCAAAACTTAGTGAGCCGCCAAACTAAGCATCACCTTTGTAGCATGCTCACTAGTTTTTGAGACACGCTCCCAAGTGCCCTTGAATAAACTCACAGTAGGGTCTTTCTCCGCCACCAGCACTCTCAGACTATCCCTCACTCACTCCTTCCTCTTCAGCCAGTATGCGATGGACCATCCTATGACTCCCCCTCCCACAATCACCACATCAGCCCTCTCCGGAGGCAGGCCAGGGGTCAACTCAATCGGGCTCCAGTCACTGCCAGGCATCGCTCTGGCCGCTTTGTCCCGAAACGCCCGGAGCTGAGCGTCCAGATCTGTAACGAGTTACATATGACAGATGGGAGTATATGTTTTATTGGCAGGAGCCAGTTTTATAATTACCTACATTTTCTTGAAACCATATTGTGTTTGTAATTTTGTTAGATAAGGAGTTTTATTATTAATGTAATGCTAGTTTGTGGTAAATTTCTCATTCTAAATATCTAAATATAGGAAGAAAACACTTTTACTATTTTATTTGGTAATTATATTCTACCCCTAAAAAGCAAAAAAAAAACAAACTGACTAGGATTATTCAGGAACTAAATGTAATAAAAGTGAATACAAATTATCATTTTTATTCATCTATTGTAACTATAAATATATTTAGCTTTGATTACAATTTTGAACTAGTCTGAATTACTATTATACATGTATAATATTTGTTATGCAGGATGCGAATTTACAAATCCTACTATAGCGAAAGCAATACTCAACTCATGAATATTAATTAGTTCAACTGGTCGTTACGCAGTTGGCGAATGAACAGTTACTTCAAGAAAGGCTTCGCTCATTAATATTGATTACATTACGTGACGGCGCTCCAAGGAAGTTTACAACTCAACGCCAGTATGACCAAATTAATATTAATAAACTAACCATTTTATCATAGTAGGATTAGAAATACAAGAATATTGGGATGGCACGCATGACTACAGTACACTGGACGTTTAACGCCTCTCATATTAATATAAACGTACGGATGCATAAATTATTTTAAGTGAATCATCTCACCTGTTGCTGCTAAAGCTCCGACAAGGAGCTACCAGGGCTCTGAAAGCAGGGACGGAGGTGAACAGCTTGTGCCACATTGCTATTGTCGTCGGACAGTCATGTAGGCGTAACAAGACACTCCAATCACCTTTCTCAGTGACACGCCGCTCAATAAATCGAGCGTAAACTCATTTGGCCGAGTGCGCATGCCATGCTCACAATGACGCCACACCAAGACCAGCCCACAGCTGTAGTTTCATTAGTACATGTATACAAGATTGCAATAATTTTCACTTGGAAAATCAGTGTAATATGCATTTTAATTATTATAACGTAAGTACGTAGGTAAATAAATAAATAGGAGAAATCTCTCTAACATCTAAATTGCTTGTTCGTTGACACTGCTGAGAGATAAGTACAGAATAAAATTACTTTTTAAAATTTATGTATGGAAAAAAAATATGTTCTTTTTCAGTTCATTAAAATGGGCAGCTTGATTTTTGGACTAACAAGTCAAGGTCTCTTGAGGATCTAGATCTTAGTGGGCCTGGTCTTGACTCCAACTTCGGCATGCATTTGATTTTAATGATTAAAAATAAAGACAGTGATCAATTTAATCCCATTCACTCCTTTATTCACCCATTAAAGACAAATCAAACAGTTATCTGGCCAGCTGATTGCAGAAATGACTTATGAACATTATTCTCACCTTTTCAGGTGATAATTTGACACCTTCTGGCCCCAGTAAACATCACATTTCACAATCAAATTTAAAAAAAACAAACCAAGAAAACAAAGGTAAGAAAAGAAAATCTCTTTCAGCAATTACAACAAAAGTATAAAAAATCTACACGCTTTCTCCTCAGATCATGGGATGGGGCCCGCAGATGTTCGGTGCTGTGTGTTCAGAAGAGGGGGGTGGGATTTTGAGTTTCTGGGTTTTACGTTCTTGAGAGGCCACGGTTGTCAAGGTCTTTGACCTGTGGAGGTAAAGCAGGAGATCATCAGTGGAAGTTCAGATGGTTTAGAAGGACCGTAGTGGTTAAAGATGCACAGGTGAGTTAAGATGTACCTTGTATATCCTGACGAGCCAGTGCTCTGTAGTATACGCTTCCTCCAGCACATCCAGCTCAAAGTCCTTGTTGCCAATCTCAGCATTACGAACTCTGTCGTAACCAGGAGGACGCTCTGGAAAAGTAAAAAAAAAAAGTAAATGCAGAGTTTAATTCTAGTCATCACTCATTTCTTAAAGGGTTAGTTCACCCAAAAATGAAAATTAGCTTGTGTTTTACTCACCCTCGAAGCATCCTAGGTTCTTCTTTCAGACGAATCATATCGGAGTTATATAAAAAATTGTCCTGGCTATTCCAAGCTCTTATCATTGCAGTCAGCGGGTGTTGCAGTTGAACAGTCCACAAGTCGTCAAATAAAGCGCGCGCATCCATATTAAACGTGCCTCACACAGCTCCGGGGATTGAATAAAGGCCTCCTGTAGCGAATCCATGCGTTTTCATAAGAAAAAAATATCCATATTTCAAACATAATAAACACTTTTCTCTTACTTCTGTTGACTGTCGTACGTGGAAGCCGTTCTGGCGGATGACGCAGCACGTATGCGCAGCGCACGCGCCTATGAGATATGCCAGTCTCGCGAGTTTGTTTATAGGAGCACAGGAAGCAAAGTTTCCTTACTTTAGCAAAGGAAAACCAGTCTCCTCTTGGTTTATATCGAAATCCTTCGACATTTTTCTTCGTCACTTATCACGCAATGCCGACGTACTACGTCATCCACCCGGAACGGCTTCCGCGTATGACAGAAACCGGAAGTGAGAGAAAAGTGTTTATTACGTTTGAAATATGGATATTTTTCTAATGAAAATTTTTTAAAAAATAAATACATTTATTTGACATCTTGTGTGATATGATAGAGCTTGGAATAGCCTTAATACAACTGGATTCGTCTGAAAGAAAAAAATGTCATATACACCTAGGATGCCTCGACAGCGGGTAAAACACAGGCTAATTTTCATTTTTGGGTGAACTAACCCTTTAAGAATTTTTTGTCAACTTTTGTCAAAGTCAACATGAAACAGCATTTGCAACTCATTTTACTTCCATAATGTCAGTTATGAAAATAATAATAATAAAATATTCACTAAAAATATTAAATATTCAATAAAATAGTACTAATTAATTGTGTTGTTATTAACTAAAACTAAATAGAAATAAAATAACAATAAATAAAAGCACAACAAAATTACAAAAAATATTATAATCAAAACTAAAAAAATATCAATAAAAGCTTATCGAAAACATGAATTAATACTACAATGTATGGATGTATGTATGTATATTTCCTAATCAAGTCCAATCAGTATAATCAAACACAGCTGGACTCAAATGAAGGTGTAGAACCATCTCAAGGATGATCAGAAGAAATGGACAGCACCTGAGTTAAATATATGAGTGTCACAGCAAAGGGTCTGAATACTTAGGACCATGTGATATTTCAGTTTTTCTTTTTTAATAAATCTGCAAAAATGTCAACAATTCTGTGTTTTTCTGTCAATATGGGGTGCTGTGTGTACATTAATGAGGAAAAAAAATTAACTTAAATGATTTTAGCAAATGGCTGCAATATAACAAAGAGTGAAAAATTGAAGGGGGTCTGAATACTTTCCGTACCCACTGTATATTAAAAAAAACACACACACACACACTTACTGGCTTCAGTGTAAACCTGGCCGAAGCGATAATAGCACATCTTGTACATGAGGCAATTGAGCAGGACGGGGGACCCCTCGCGGTCCACGCGGAACTCTCCGGTGGGCGTGTAGTAGTCATGTTCCTTTATGTGCCTCCCTGTGTCCGTGCTGCCCCCGATACGGACCATCCACAGGAACTTATTAATGTCTACACAAACAAAAACTTAAACATACTAATTTTTACATGTTATTTAGGTTTCATCCAATCCAGATTCTACAATTCAAACATTAAGAACCACAAAGCCGTTTCCGTGGGTCAAAATGAATCCGAGCCCGTACCATCAGATGAATATCCTGTCAGTCCACCAAAGATCACCAGGACGTAACTAACATCCAGTTCTCGCATAATCTCATAGGCTTTCTCCTCAGTGGAGGCCATAGCCTGCAAAGAAAATTTTTTTTATAAATGTCCAAAGTATAAAAACTGTAAACCGTAAAACTATATTTTTGTAGTTTAAACTATATAAAACAACATCCTCACCTGACCCACTCTGGAGATGTGAGTGTTATTCCAAGTGTTGTTGTCAACCAGAATCGTTCGATTGGCCATCGCTGTTATTTGATACCCATAATCCCACCACGACATGACTTTAGCATCCTGTACACACACAAAAGCAATATGAGATGAGCAAAAATGTTTGGAATCAAAAGAAGCAGGACGTTTATGAGGGTCAACAGCATGACGGATCTCACTGACCTCTGGTGTGTTGTGTCTGAGCCAGTAATATGCCTCTCTGAAGTCATCGAAGATGATGCGGCTGCCATCACCACCACGGGCGGAGAGCACAATAGACGGGGAGGAGTACGCCTCACTGGTCACCCAGGTGGAGTGGAAGGTGTATGTGATGAGGAAAAACGCCATGACCAGAATCATCCCACTTGCCACCTACGGACCAATCAGAGCAGAGCATCACTGAGTGAACCAATCACGTAAGGAAAGCTAAGAAAGATCAAGAGCATTGATCGTACCTCATTTTTGATTGGGTAAGTGGAGTCCTGCTGCTTTTTGGACTTCTTGTCCGGTCGGCTGACATCCAGGTTCTTCATGTAGGTGGTGAGGACCTGAGAAACGCCAATGCCTGACAGGATGCACATGACGGGAGCCAAGACTAACATGAGACGCACCTGAGCAGAACAGATAAAACTAGGGTCAGAGCTTCCTTTGTTAAAAGAAATGCTAATAAACTGACTTCAAATCTTGGCTAATATAAAGTAAAAGTGTTTTACCATCACAGCTGAGAAGTACATGCTGGTGACGCCATACATGATGATGAAAATCGTGGCATCGGAGAGGTTGTTAAAGCAGTAATAAAGGCCAACTGGAGAAACAAGAGATTACTGATTTAACACATCAGATGCAGATTATTTTAGCATTATTTATATACTATTATAGTATTTATTAATATTTTGAATTTGCTTTATTTTTATATTTTCAGTTTTCAATTTTATTTTAGTTTAAGTTTTAGCGATTTTGTTATATGCTTGTCATTTTAATTAGTTTTTAGCTTGAATTTGTTTTTTGTTTTTTCAGTTTTAGTAATTTTAGTACTTCAACGTAAACTTATTGCATTTCATTTAGTTTCCAAGTTGATATTTCTAATTTTCATTTATCTAATATTATAATTTTATATTTGCTTCATTTCAATTAACAAAAACTATTTTTAATGGAGCTTTTTCCACAGACTGTGATGATGCTTTTCCACAAGTTATCAACGTTGTAAATCTAGCAACATTTTTTATATTTTAACGTTTTTAAATTTTATAACACTATACTTTGTGCTTTCTTACCTTAGCATTAAATGTCTGTCTGACAGACATTTCTAGCTGGATAAAGGACCATCACCTTCAACTCAACCTTGCTAAGACAAAACTGCTCGTTGTCTCTGTCAACCCAGCACTTCATCACAACTTCTCTATACAGCTAGGCTTGTCAACAATAACTCCTTCTAGGACAGCAAGGAACATTGGAGTTGTGTTTGATGATCAGGTATTGTTTCACAGACCATATTGCTATAACGGCCCGGTCCTGCAGATTTGCCTTATAAAACATTAGGAAGATTAGACCCTTCCTATCAGAGCCGGCCATACAACTCCTTGTTCAAGCTCTTGTTCTCTCCAGACTGGACTATTGTAATGCTCTCTTGGTGGGCCTTCCGGCATGTACTATCAAGCCTCTGCAACTGATCCAGAACCCAGCAGCGAGAGTGATAGCTGCCAATCAAATTCAAGGTGCTGATGTTTGCCTACAAGATAACCTCTGGCTCTTCACCAATATACCTAGACTCACTAGCTCAGACTTGTGCGCCCTCCAGAAGCTTGTGTTCTGCAAGTGAATGACGCCTCGTGGTGCAATCCCAAAGAGGCACAAAATCACTCACAGACCTTTTACTGGACTGTTCCCAGCTAGTGGAATGACCTGCCTATCCCAATTTGAGCAGCTGAGACTTTAGCCATTTTCAAAAAACTTCTAAAGACACATCTTTTTCGTCAGCACCTGACCAATTAATACTAGCCCATACATATTCTATTATATTAATTTTTTTCTAATTTATTTAATTAAAAAAATGCATGAAGGGTGAATAAACCTTGCTATGTGTACTGAGTACAGAGACTTGTTACAGTACTTGTATACTGTTGCCCTCTTGTTTGGTCTGATTGCTTCTATTGTAAGTCGCTTTGGATAAAAGCGTCTGCTAAATGATTAAATGTAAATATAAATGATCTAAAACTAGTTCATGCTGCTGCATGAGTGTTTCTAATACAAAGGTCGAGGAACTGACAGCAAATTTGACATCTTTCACTCTTTTGAATAATGTAATCAATCTCTCGATATTTTTTCCTCTTTTAGAAAGTCACAGAAACGTTATTGTCATTTTTTTCTTTTGCTATTAGGGCAAAAGGGAACACAAAAAATCTATATGTAGTTTCCTTTCACCACTATAGAAATGTATCCTAGTATGATGACTTTCGCTTCAGAGAGCCTGAGAAATGTGAAAAGACTCCACAGTTTTAGATTTAGTTCACAATAACAACATCGATCTGATGGTTTAAAGAAAAAAACGAGCACAGGAAGGTGCTGTACCTGGAAACATGAAGACCAGAAGCTGCAGGTCAAAGTAGTAGGAGGACCAGGTGGTGGGCTGGTGCTCAGACACGGAGGCGATGATGGGGATGTTGTTCTTGGCGTACGATGGATCCAGCAGAGAGTAAAAACGGCCAGTCCAAGGTGAAATTTTCCCTAGCATAAGCCAATACAAAAACAAACTATTTAGAAATAATTAAAAAAAATTATATTTAAATTAGTGCTGGGCGGTATGACCAAAAATTTATATCACGGTATTTTTCAAAATTATACCAGTTTCACGGTACATGACGGTATTTTTTTTTTCATGCATGACCGGGTGTTAACCATATTTCTACTGATTGAGAGAGGAAATACTGCAGTATATTGACTTAGAATGCCCTATTTTACTGTCATGATGAGTGAATATTGTCAAAAAATACCACACTAAATAGTGACTAAACACGACCCCTTTTAATGCATGTTAACCAGGAGTCACTCTCATTTATAATCGCGGCATCGTCTGATAAAATCAACATGCATCTACACTAAAGAGCGGCTATGCTACTTTTTTGTCTCATGCAGCGCACTGCCTGCGT